TTTTTTTTTTTTTAAATATTATATATAGACCAGTTGATTTTTATGTATTTGTTAATATGGTTTGCAGTGTGCAAATTTTTTTTTCTTCCTGAATTTGTTGTTTTATTTGGCAGTGTTGACAAAGGGAATCTTGGGGTGCCGCAGTTACCTGGGCAAGGGTGTTCATTTCACAGCTTCCGAACAAATACCTATAAACTGAGTTTTATGGAGAGCCCATCCGGAATAAAGGTTAGCTGATGTGCCCTTTTTGGTAGTGCATTTGATACCTGTATACAATGCAAGCAGCACCACATTTTTAATTCTCAAATTGAATGATCATATTGGAAATTGTACGAGTACAGAAACAGATATTAAGTGTATATTTTATAGTTCCAAGCACCATCCTACATAAGGGAAACATTTGCTAATTCTTCAAAAAGACATTACATGCTGCTTGTTTCTGCTTACAAATTTCCACTATCAGGTTTAATCGACTAGGAGAAATATTCACCATTGAGAGCAAATGATTTGTGCACGTCATATTTAACTAGAGTTATTGCAATCTTTCGTCGGGTGCATCTTATAAATGAATAATATTTGGTCCCTTCACAATTGATTAAGGTAAGGTGAATGTTTGGTTATCATATCTGATTTTTAGTTGTGACATTTGTTTTCACGTTTCATCTTGACTTCTCCGTTCTGGCACCCTTTTCTTCAGAAGTTTTAGTGATTATATTTATGGTTGTTTCTAATAATATGATCTGTTGAGCTGCAGATCATCCTTGTCACCCACCCGAGGACTGGAGATCTTAGGGAATCCCTGAAGTACATTTATAACTTGTATGTTGAATATGTTGTCAAGAATCCACTGTATTCCCCAGGAACTCCAATTAGGTCAGTCATCTATTTTTCAATTATCTCTGCAACTATATAGATCTTCTAATTATCTTTTTGATCAAATGATCAACATGTCTGCATTGTAATTCTAAGAAGCGTCCTCTGAGAAAACTAGACATGCAAAGGTTTATGGCGTATAAGTGAGGAACTAAAAAGATTTATGTTTGTTCAAAATTTATGTTCTTATGCCACAATTCATTCTGATATAGCCAACTTTTACTAGGATTTTAATTGGCAATATGTAATTTGTCTTTATAGCCATATGCTACTTGTAACTGTAACAGGTGATCAAAAGATTTCATTAGCAGCTGTGTAACATGACAAGTACTACAAGCACTCCTGTCCATCTTTCATACATGCTTAAGAGCTATGATAAGGTTGTTCACATTTCTGAGATGCATAATGGACTATAATAAAGTAGATATAGTCGAGTTAATAATTTAAACATTGCCTTTTGTGATCTGGTGCCAAGGTAATCGAAGGGCTTGACCTTATTTATATAATTTTGAATCTAAACATGAACTGTTTTTGGATGGCCGTTAGTGGTGTTGTATATGCCTCATATTACTTTACTTCTAGAGTGGGTGAGGCCCAGTGTTGTGAGTTGTTGTGAGTAATATGTCATCTCTTGTAAATGGTAATGAGTCCATTGGGAACAATTTACTATAAGTATGTATAACAGAGACTATTCTAGGCCTCCAGGGTCACAAAAAAGAAGGTTAATTAATCAATCATGTAGCATACCAATATTTACCCCTCTGGATTTTATTCTAATGTTGCATAGAAGATTTGTGTGACTCCTAAATTCTATGACATGCCTCTGCTATTCAACTAATTTGTTTTCATAGAGGGCAAAGAATAAGATGAAATGTTAAATGGATTATTTCAGTAAAGTAAGAAGAGATATAGAGCTTGTTTGGTAGAAATTTTGATAATTGATTTTTTGACTTTTAGAGATAAAGCGAGTCCTACTTGTGAGAGAAGAATTCAAAAATGAGAGTTGGTATAATGAAATAATGGTCAAAAATTTGATTTTAATTGGCTTTTAATCCGTAGCAAACAAGCACATATTAAGAAATGAGCATTCTCATAAGTTGTTTAAGGTAGTGCCTCTCAAAACTATTTGGAAGTACCATTTGAGATGGTTTGGGCACATTTAGTGAAAGCCTGAAGGCTTCTAGATGCACCAATTATAAAGATATAGTTTTTTTTTTTTTTTTTTTTTTTTTTGG